AGAAAGTCAAGCGCATAACATCGGAAAAAATGCGTTTTGCATGAGCAAGAAATGTCTCCACGCCATGAGATTCTTACTCAAGAAATTCAAGAAAGTCATGTGCTTGAGAAAAAAAGCTTCACTAGGGAATGTCTCACCTTCGTTATCTTGCGCGAGATAATATTGTATTTGTGTTTAAATGTGTACAATCCATGTTTTGACATAAGGACTCATCCATAGCCTGTTTAAGAGCCCATCGTCGTAGATCAATATCGTGCACTGGCAGTGCTTTCTCTCGAGCCCGCTCGAACATATCAAATACATAATCATCGATTTTCTCGAGCTTCTGTTTCTTGGTTCCATGTTTTTCAAGATAACGGCGAAAGCACGAGAGATAGGTTTGATGCGGGATACGTTGGAAGTTGTGTTTCACCGTCTGCCATCGTCTCTTTCATTTTCCAGTTTGTGAATTGATTTCATTATAGAATTTGACTGCCCTTGCCATATAATCGAGTGAAAACTGTTTGCACAACGCCGTCTCTTCATCTTCATCCTCATTATTCCAGTTGGGATCCCATGTTCCATCATCTGTATCTGCGCACTCGACATCATTGATCAATTCGTCATCGGCTAACTCATGAACAAGAGTTGTTTCGACTTCGAAGGTGTGGGAGTGGCTGCTAATAATCGATTCCAGCACACCGCACAACTTCACATTCACGATTTGTGACAGTAGTGGCAGAGGTCGCGTTGTTCGACACAGTAGACAATAAGTTCGATGCTCGATCAGCGAAAATCTTCACAACATTTGCAGGGTTGATCGTGTCGAAAAAGACGTGAGGAAAACTGGTATCGGAAGCTTGCTCGTACGTCACTTGTATATCGTAAACAATCGAATGAAGAGAGAAACAACCTCGTGGTATGTTTTCGGCATGAAAGAGAGGAACACGTGGAGAAAGAAAGTAGAGAAGCGTAAAAAAAGAGCACGCATAGTTATAAATCAGACATGTTGGTACGCCAGCAAGGTAGATGAAAAGATAATCGCTATTGTATTATTTGCTTCCATTAATCTTTTGCAGTGTATAATGAAATCAGATGTGAAATGAAGAGTTCTGGATGTTCTGTGACCCGATGAACAGCCCTTAGAGGTGGTACTGATGAGATATGACCTAGCACTAAATCCAGAATAGGTAGTACGAGCAATGCGTGAAGCTTTGAAAATTTTCCACCTGAGTACTGTACTGCTCTCTAAGAACGATCATTTTCCACTTCGGTCCCGTTTCGTATGTATCTTGAGAATTGGATATCTCGGGAATAAATCCTCTTGCGGTTTTTCATACCTCATCGAGGTCTACCTATCGCCAAAACATGGGACCTAAAGGCTTTAAACACCTAGAGAACTTCCCTCGTCAGTTTTACAAACATGTACTATTTCACGAGACAACCCCGAAATTCAGCATTTGCTAGGTTCTATAACATCTATGTTTAGAGAAACCAACCCGAATGAATATACATTTATAAAAAACTGCGACGAGAAATTCAATTCAGTACGTCCAGTAGAAGTTTTTTTATCTGATGGAGAATCTTTTTTCTATGTTTCTGTTAAGTCAATCTTGTCTCATATATTAAAAAATAACGGATTTTTCTGCCGGTTAAACCATGGTCCGAAACAAAACAAATTGTATGAAGAGTTTTCGGATATTGTTAGGATATTGTTAGTTATGCATGCTACACTGTATATAGTCGTAGATTAATAGACTATCAAAAAGGGCTTATTGAGACCAATAAACCTTTTAAAAAACGCTGTTTCGTTTTTTATATCCAAAAACTTAAAAAGCGTTCGTGACAGATGCAAAATGAAAAACGGGCGGTTTTTTATCAAGAATAAAAAACCCTTTTCAGTTTTTTGTCGAGTCGAGTCCAGCTTTTTAGACTCGACAAAAAACTGAAAAGGTTTTTTTATTCTTGATAAAAAACCCCCCGTTTTTCATTTTGCATCTGTTACGAACGCTTTTTAAGTTTTTGGATATAAAAAACGGAACAGCGTTTTTTAAAAGGTTTATTGGTCTCAATAAGCCCTTTTTGATAGTCTATTAATCTACGACTATTTTTTACAGTGTATAGGTAAATGTCTTTTCTTGAATTTTTTATTTTGTCTGTTCGCTTGATTTGCCTGTTACTGCACATGTTCTGTCTTTCCTGTTCATGCATGCATCCGCTCGTGGAGAGGCTCATAGAAATTTGACTGATGGTTGAGCATTTTCATCTGATCGTGCTAATGGAGCGTTCTCAGTCATTGATGATAGGAGATAGATAAAACAAAAAGCACGACAAGCAAATACACTAGTAATTAGTCGATCTTAACTGGTTCTTGCAAATTTGTTATAAAATTTCATAAACTCCTTTGGTATGTATGCGTGGTCATGTATCTAAAACAGAAGATCGATACGATGTTTCATTGAGAAGTAACACTTGTTCGTATAGAAATCTTTTTAAAAGATAAAAATGGTT